CAAGGCCATGACTCTATGATCCACCCAGATGTACTCAAAAGTGTACTCCACCATCCCTGGGGTGGATCTCAAAGCCAATCAAGTTGACATTCCACCTTAACTACCACATCCCATCTCCTTATCAACTTCATACCCAAACACATCTCTTTAAACAATATTTAATCTTCAAAAAATAACAGTGGAAAGTTCATAATTCTACCTAGCATAATACAACTATTATGCATACAGCCAAAATCACAATAATCCCTTCCACAAAGTCTCAACAGTGTCAGCATTTTTCAAAAGTCCAAATCCAAGTCTCTTCTGAGAGTCAAGGAAAAGTCTTTGCTGTAAACCTCTGAAAAACTGAAAATCACATTACATAATCCCAAGGTTCAATGGCACAGTATAAACATCTTCATTCCAAAAGGGAGGAGCAGGGGAATAGAAAGGAATTGAACAAAAGCAAGATCAAAATTCAGCAGGGAAAACATTATGTCCTCTGGCTCCATTTCTAGGACCCCAAGCCCCTGGGATAAAATGTGAATTCCAGAGGCTTGAGTGGTCCCACCTCTATGGTCTTGCTAGGTGCAGCCTACATGGCCTTTCACTTGGGCAAGTTCCACTCATACCCTATGGATTTCTTTAGCAGCCTTCAATATTCTTGACATCCATGACTCCTTAGGGTTTCCACTCTACCTTGGCTTCATTCCCACAGCTTCACATACTGCCCTTGGAGGGTCTCTGGGTCTGGCTTTCCAGGTCTTCCTTTGACATCTAGATGAAAGCCTCACTGACCCCATAACTCTTGAATTCTACATGCCAGTCAAACAAGTACCACGTGGTGATCCATACTTGGATGACACTGATGATAAGATGGTCCCAGAGATTGAAGAAGCTTATGGAAAGTTTTATTTGGAATCACAACATAAGCAAAAATAGTAAAGTTAAATTTCAGCATATCAGTTTTATAAAACAGTTAGATATGATGATTTAGCAGAACACAGGAAAGCACCTTGTTCCCTGTGTCATATTTATACCAAATTAAGGATGTTGAGTTATGTTACTAATGTATTTTTTATAGATACTTGGATGATATTGATGATGAGATGGACCCAGAGATTGAAGAAGCTTATGAAAAGTTTTGTTTGGAATCAGAGCATAAGCGAAAACAGTAAAGTTAAATTTCAGCATATCAGTTTTATAAAACAGTTTAGGTATGTTGATTTAGCAGAACACAGGAAAGCAAGAACATGTGTCATACTTATACCAAATTAAGGATGTTGAGTTATGTTACTAATGTATGCAACTTTAATTTTGTTTAACACTATCTGCCAAAATAAACTTTATTCCCTATAACTTAAAATGTGTATATATATAAAATACTTTATTATGTACAGTTAATTCCACTGTTTTGGCTGCAATAAAATCAATTTTGAAATCTAAGATAGCATGGACAGTAAGCAGACACCCTGAATCACAGGAACAGCAGCCTCTGAATGCTTGGATAGCTGAGCTCAGCAAAATGAATCCTGTAAAAACCAATTCTCTAGGAAGCCCTTTTTGAGCAGGGTGCTCTAAAGCTCTCTTCTGAAATGAAAAGTTTAAATTTTTGGATTTTGAGTACAGGATGAGTGAGGTCTTCCTGATTCCTGAGATGTCCTCAAGGTATTTTTCTTCTTGTCTCATATGGATCACTTGGTTCCTTTTAATCGATGCTAATCTCCAGTAACCATACTTCTTTTGGCCCTACCTCTACATATGGTTCTTTCTGGGCAAAATTTAAACTTTTCAAATGTTTCTGCTTTGGCTTTTTACCCCTGATTCTTATTACAAAACTAGTTAAAGGCATCCAGAAATGCCCATACCACCATCCAAATGTTGGGCTGCTTTCAAATTTCATCTACCAAATCGATTAAACTACCACCCTTAATCTCAGTCTCCTGTAGTATCTCAGGACATTGGCAAAGTATAGGCAATTTTTCTACCAGAGTGTGACACACATGGCTTGTAGTCCGAATGCCAGTGGAGTCCTTGTTCACAATTGAAACCTCCAGAGCCTAGCCTTTATTGTCCATATTCCTATCTGAATTTGGCTCTTCTAATCTTCAACCTATCAGGCTCTGCTTACAGTGTTTTAAGCCTTATCAAGCTTGTATCTCCAAACCTTTCTACGCTTCCTATAAACTAGTTTCAAAGCCTTCTGAATCACGTGGTCAGGCATAGTCACAGCAATTTTCCCACTTCTCTGGTGCCAATTTTCTGTATTAGTCAGCTCTCCCATCACTGGAACACAATACTAGATACCAAAAACTTAAAGTGTGAAGGATTTAATTTAGTTTGTGGCTTTGGGGTGTTTAGTACATGATTGTCAGGTTCCAAGTCAGGAACATCAAGATGGAAGAGCATAGCAGAGTAAAGCTGCTTAGGTTGTAATGATCAGGGAGCAGAGAAGGGAAGCAGTCTAGAGAGGAAGGAGTGGCTAGATATAGACCTAATACTATGCCTCCATGATCCACCCAGAAATATCCAAAAATGTGCTCCACCAGCCCAAGGACAGATACCAAAGCCAATCAAGTTGACCATCTATCATTACTGCCACATTCCACCCCTTGTCAAGTTCATATCCAAACTCATACCCTTAAACCACAATCTCCAAACAAAAGGTTCCTCAGGGTATTGAGCAATTTATGCCATGATCTGGATAATGAACAAAAACTGATAGTGTGGCAGGGAAGGATGAGGAGAGGAGTGCATTTCTGGTGAGAGACACAGAATAAGATGTTCACTGTGGCTGAAGCAGGTACAAGCTTGTATGTGGAGTGTAGCAGTATGACTGGAGTGTGGAAAGAGTTACAGGTGGAGAGAAAGAAAGGACTACTTTCCACAGGGTCTTGTTTTGGTGGTTGGAATTTATCCTAAAAACAAAGTTAAGTAGCCGTAGAAGAATTTGGGTGAAGAATTTGACTTCAGACTTGAGTTATGCAAAGCTCATTTTGATTGCATTGTGAAGGGTGGATTGGAAGAGGGTAAATGGGTAGATTCAAGATCTACTTAAGAGATAGAACTTAGAATATTTGATACAGGATTGGATTTGAGAATTGATGGGAAGAAGTGTCAAGAATGACACCTGCAAGTCTGGGTTGGCAAAGGAACGTGATGTGGTGATGTTCATTAAAATATCACACTCCTGAGGGGGATGAGGTCTCGTGGGAAAGCTTTCTGTCTCATTATAGGGGTGATAAGTGTGAACTGTCACATGAGATGCCAAGAGAAGTTGGCTGGGAGGTAGGTGGGGGATCCTACAGCTCTGGAGAAGACCAAAGCTAGCAACTTAGATTTGGGAGGTGTCAGGAGAGAGATGGGAATTGAAAACCATCAGAGCTGCTGAGATAATCAAGGGACATGTAGCACTGGAGGGAACAGAAGAGTGTGCCATGTTCCAAAGGAGAAAGGAAAAGACCTTCAAGAAAGAGTGGAAAATAGTCTAATACTTCCAAAAGTTTGAGCACATGAGAACTAAATCTTGCTCTTTGGGTTGTGTACAGACTACTGGAGACTGCTATACTTTGGATCTGGTTTCTCCCCTCCAAAACTCAAGCTAAAACTTGGTCTTTGATGTAACAATGTTAAGAAATTTAAGAGGTGATTAGGTCATTAAGAGGGATTTGTATAGTTTTTAGTGGACTGGGTTAATTACCAAGAAAAGCTGTGTCTCTTGTTTATTCTTTTAGACCATGCCCACTCTCTCTTCTGCCTTTCTGACATATTGAGCCATGGCACAAGGCTCTTGTCAGAAGCTAAGAACTTCCCATCTTCCAGAGCTAAACAAATCTCTTCATTAATGTCCTAGTCTTGGGTATTTGGTTTTGGCAACAAAATAGTCTAAGATAATTTCAGTAGAATGATGGGGGGTGGAGGCTAAAATCCTGATTATACAATTGCTTAGTAATAGAGGGGAATAGAGAAGAGAGAATGAATGATAGCAAGGAGGCTCTTAAAGATACTTAAGAGACCTGACTTGAAATTGTGTCAATGCTGATGAGAAGCAGCTGTAAGAGAGCAAGTGGTTCAAGACACAGGAGGGAGAGTGGATAAGAGGCAGAGCAAAGCCCCCAAGAAGAATGAGAAGTGGAACAAAGTGAAGGGGATACAGAGCACCCGGTTGGGGTGAACAAGAAGTGAGGCGACCAATTTCCCAGCTTAGTAGCAGGAAGAACGCAAGAAACCTTAGACAGAGCTGCAGTCAATTTCACATATTTGGTTGCAAAA